GGGCATCAGTCCAATTGATGGGTATAGGAAACCCCGCATTTTCTTTAAAAAAACAATTAATTTAATTTAAGGAACTTATGATCTCTGCGCTAGAATTATCTACAGCCGTCAGTTTGACGAATTTATAGTTGTTTTTATCGGTGTAAAAAACGTTATGGTAGATCTAGTATTAACATATTAACCTAAGCTTATAACATCAATCTTCGTTTACTAACTGTATTCGCTATCAATTATGTTTCGCTTCTTAAATTACTCATGATGACTAAAGAAGGGTATTTTCTCAGGGTAAAGTTACTTTAATATAATTCTACAATACTATACACCGCGAAGATGACATCCGTCCTAGTTCGTGCCGTATGGAATTGAACGTCATCTCTGTGGAAATCACTTACATTGGCATACAAGGGCTTTTGTTCAGTACATATGTTTTTCTTTTGTTACAAGATATTTTGAATAGCACAGTATTACATATGAACATATAATTGAATACTATATATAAGGGAAATTATATTTATCGTATATATAGTATTTAATTATATAATATGAATGCTCATATGTAATATTACAACACTGCTAATAATAATCTAGTTCTTTCTTCTTTATCGTCTCTACTCGCGCTAACTGAAGCTTTTCTTAAAATGTCTTGACAGAATGACTGGAACTCAACGACTGCAGATCGTTCTTTAGTCTTGTGTTTAACTCTTTGTGGTTACGCTTTAGGTACGCACGACTGACAGATAATCGCACGTGACGTATACCTTTTTCTGGGAACCACGGAGTGTTGATATTGGGTTCGAAGTTATCGAAAGATATTTCCATTGAATTATGATTTAAGTTTGGTATCTAAGTTCTAACTACTGCCGTCAGAAAAATAATTTCATAAAAAAGGTCTCTTACGATTAACTTTGAAACTAACTTACCCGTCATTTTGACGAATATCCATAGAGGTACATCATACAGAACTAAGGACAAAAGGGGAAATAAATTGTGATATGTATTCCTCTCATTACATTAATTGTCAGCATAAATAAGACGGCTATAAAAATTACGGTTTTTGTAATTTTGCTAATGAAGTTTGATTTCTGTAAAAATGACTAATCCCGTAAATCTAGTGCTACTAGATATTTCAGTAAGATATGTGAATTAACATCTCTTAATAATTATTTAAGAGCTAAAACAGGACAAAATTATTTAAATTCTGTTGTTATGACAAAATATTTCTGTATTAAATATTCATTTAAATAACTAAAACAATTTTACAACTCTCTTTACTTTTTAACTCTTTTATGATTTTATGACATGTGTTTATGCCAGTTTGGAGAAATAATTTAACAAAAAGCCGTTGGCATAGTTCTGGATTAAAAGTGTATTTCAGTTTTAATTTATTGATCACGTATAAGAAACTTCTGAAAGATAATTCATTAAACTAAAGACTTTTTAATATTGTTATTAAAATAAGCATGATGTATACGTGATTACCCAAGATGACAGAGACAGAATTTTGATTCACTCAGATCTTCGCTTCCAGTGAAACATCTATTATTTTAAAAATATGCATGTTTTTCAAGCTTCACAAATGTATTTTGTCAAAAAGGAAGCTATTGAGCATAAATAAGCTTTTAAGTAAACGGGTAGTATTTAATGATGAGGAAGATTGCATTAATTGCCCACCTTTGGAAGTTATTTTAATAAAGGACTTCCTGTGAGCATTTGCCATATTTACTTTAGACATGCAGGAAAAGAATGTGCACAGAATTGCATCCCTGAACTCGCTATGAATGAAATAAATAAAATATATATATATATATATATAAGGAAAAAAAAAAGAATTTCTGCAGCTGTGGAATTCTGCATATTAGAACTGTCAAATTCTGCACAAAAGTCGCGTTATCAGTTGTTGAATTTTCTAGTTGACTCGATTTCTAGTTTCTAGATGACTAGAACTAATTGACAGATTGAGCTGAGTCCAATGAGAGGCGGAGCAGGCTGTAATAAATATTATTATTATATGACTGTAGAAATTGTAAACAAGTACCACACATTCATTTTGCAATATTTGTTTTCTGATATTATGAACCATAGAATAATACGTAGGTCAGTCAGAAAGTTTGTTGCACTACTGCGTAAAAATGTTCCGTCTAAGACTATTTCGATGACACTGTGTGGCAACACTTCAGAAATGTACTTATCGCGTGAGTAGCGGCTTCCGAGGCAAGTTAGTTTTCTGATATCAGTGGCAAAAAAATGTCTCGAAGTGCAATAGCGTCCAAATTGGAAATGCGTCAGTGATTCTTTTTTTTTTTTTTTTTAGCCAAGGATTGATACCGAAGGACTATTCGTTTCGTTTGGCATTTTGCGTCGGAAATAAGTCGTTCACTTTCAAACTGTTGCCATAAAATGTTAGAGTCTGATTATATTTGAAGAAATTATTAATAATGAAAATCTGGAAATGTATGTATATTTCTCCATTGTCTAAAAAACGGTCATAGAGTCATCAATTTTGAATAACGTCATCCTCCAACAATATGAGCTGTGGAAGACAAATTTGAAATTTGAAATTTGTTTCTGATCGCTTTCCTTTTTCAAACTTTGACGAATTTTGATTAACAAACTCAAGGATTCAAAGCGAGCAATGCACGTTGTGCAGAAAAAAAACATTTTACTCAGCGCGGAGTCTCTGTATCGGAAAATTTAAGTATGCTCGTTTTAAAACGATTTGCGATATTGTGGCACTGGATCTTATGGTTTAGGGAGGAAATGATTAATAAAGAAAGGTAAACACAAATGTAAAAACGCCCTTGGACGTAATTCAAAACACATTCAGATTTTTTTTTTTTTTTTTTTTTTTTTGGGTGGGCAAAAAGGTGCAACTGCACTGAAATTTATTGCAGTTGCATGAAGAGTATGGTGAAAATGCAATGTCATGTCAAGCTATCGCAAAATGGTGCAACATGTTTGATAATGGACGTACAGATATTGACGACACTGAGCGCGAGGGAAGACTATCAACGGCAACAAATTCGGAAATCACTGTTCGCTTGAATGAATACATTTTTGCAAACAGACGCATAACGATAGACGAAATCTCAAATGGACTGGATATTTCTCATGAAAGTTTGCATAAAATTATTGCCGATCACCTTAAATTTCGTAACGTTTGTGCTCGATGGGTGCCACGTCTATTGACGGAGGAACATAAAGGAAAACGTTTTGAAAGTGCATTTGCATTTCTGCAACGTTACGAAACGGAACGAAATGAGTTTTCGAACAAACCTGTGACTGGAAATGAAACTTGGGTTCACCACACAGTGAAACGAAACGCAGCTCGCTCGAGTGGAAACATTGCAGCTCCCCGACACGAACAGTGTCGAACTGTTCCATCTGCAGAAATGTTAATGATGAGATGTTGTTTACTATTTTTCGACAGAGAAGGCGTGGTGCATACAGAATTCATGCCGAAGGGGGCCACAATTAATGCATCTTCTTACTGTGAAACACTAAAACGAGTGCGGAAATCATTTAAAAATCGACGGCCACGTAAACTGTCGAAAGGAATTGTGGTCCTGCATGACAGAGCAAGACCTCATGCAGCAAAACAAACGTGCGAGCTTCTGAAAAGGTTTAGGTGGGAAGTGTGGAATCCCCCTCTTTATAGCCCACCTTTCCAAATTTTGCTCCTGTTTTGTTTTCTTAGGCAGTGAAACTAACTTTTTGACTGACCCTCATACATTGCTGGCCGTTAAAATTCATACACCAGGAAGGAAAGCAAAGCAGATAGCAAAATCTTATTTTTTCTACATAATAACGGCATATTGATAAGACAATATGATTAAATTTGGTACACAGCGTGCAGAAATCAGTACACAGAGCTGCCATCTCTGTCAGAAACATCGGCCTTAATTTGACTGGGTATCCAGTGGAATTGAACTTGGATGAGGGATATGGGTGCTTCATTCTATACGGTTTCAACTCTATGCCAGAGTTTATGAATCGCAGTGGCCTGCCGATCTCCAAGCAACCCATGCATAAATGTTCTTAGTGAGTGAGAGATCTGGAAAACTTGTTGTTCGGATCTGGAAAACTTGCAGGGCAACAGTCGAACGCCCTAAATATCGAGGAATGTCGGGCTAGCATGGGGAACATGCGGTCAGGCATTATCTTGTTGAAAGATGGCATTACGCAGGCTTCTAATATAGGGCGCAGCCTTGGCCTTAATATACATCAGAAATGTAACACGACTGTCCATATTATCGGCAACGCGAACAAGACATAATTATGATGTGTACCCAGTTTCTTTGAGGAAAGGCCATAGTTTAAGAAACGAAAACGTCTCATGTCCTTGAGGGACTGGCAGCTATTTGGTGTTCAAAGTGGAAACATAAAAGTGAAAATCTCGTCTGATCGATAAGGTGGCTCCATAAATTGTGGGTTCAAGCAGCTAAAATAGTGAGCAGCACTTTTAGAAGGGAGAATGTGAATTGTAACATCAGGTGATGCAAATTTCGGAATCAGAAATTTGGTGACCATGTTAAAGTCTCATTTTGGACTTGAAAGAAGGCGGAAAATATGAGATTATTGTGAATTTGTGCAAGTCCAGCTATCAGATGGATTTGAAATGTGTTACAGCACTTAGTTATGTGTTGAAAAATGAGATGAAAAATGTTGTGGAAAGTGATGTGCAATACAGAAGTGAGTTAAATTAAGGAAGAATTAGCTCTTCTGAGCAACGTTGCGGAAAATATGTATAGTGGGTGCAGATTAATGTTCACATTTATCAGCTTATATTTGAAATTATCACCATAGTTCACTTTGTTATTGATTGCCTTCGAATAAAAATTATGTTTAATTTATAAATACTTTCCAGTGTAATGTCCCTGAATAATTTAATATTCTGTACAGACCGGGGAGCCCCTGAATTTGGCGTAGAAAATTATTCAGAAAAGTTAGCAGTTTTATGAAATCGTTCTAGAGACAGTGCTCCATGCTGGGAGGAATATGCTAAAAATGGAAAGGATTGTCTCCTCAAAGACTGTTAGTTCCACATCAGCATTTTCACCTTTATATCGGCCGATGAGTAGTAATTTCGATTTTGAAGTAATGATGCTCGTCCTTTATTTTCTACACCAGTTCTCTACAGGAGATGCGGGCGATGGCAAAACGATCTGGAAAATGTCACCGTGTCGTCGGCAGAGCATGCTGTAATAAAATTTGAAATATCTTCGAGCATAAGGAAATTCATCACATAAATGAGATGTAGAAATGAGCCAAGAATGAAACCTTGCGGGGTACTTGCTTGGATAATGATATGTGCAAAGTTGTAGATTTCTTATGAAAACGAATCTTGAAGGAAAGAATTAAAATTTCCTTTCTGCTGAGATCGAAAGTTGTAAGTTTGAAAGTTTAACCGTGGTGCCATACTCGGTTCTGAACTTACACATCATGGACTTCCACGAGGCATAACACTACCTTTACATGAAACATCAGAGTTAATACGTGCTTCCCAAACGAGAAATTCGCTTTGCAATATGTGCGCATGTGCTGGTATGTTAATAATACTCATTTTCTAGCATGCAAAAACTTTCATGAAAATTTGTCGTTTGTTGCATGCTGTTTTCAAGGTGTAGCAATTTCAGTGGTCATTTATAATTTAATAAATACTAAAAAGGTTGGTAAGAGATCTCGCATGGGATTACCAGGAACATTAGCAAGGAAAGAGAATGTATATAATTAAGTGACTGTAAATACACATGTACATTATATGTTAATATCTGTAATAATATTCGCTATCTCTACATTTTCATTAGTGATGCTCGCATCAACATATTTAGGCGTATAAACGTCTGTTTATGTACCAACTTATAGTGCCTTTAATAGAAATTCGACAGCATGAATAATTTCTTATTTGAATAATTTATCGGTTGCACACAGTGATAATGCGTCATAGCCAGCACATTGTTCCCCCTCCCGCCGTCCAAAATATTATTCTCTTTATAGTTCAATTTTCCTTATTTTGTTTTAGTTTCATCTCTCGCTTTCCCTTGCAAAGATAGACTTTGGGGAACTTGATCTAAGAAATGACATTAGTCATCGACGGGACTCTGAAGGCCGACAAGCACCTTTCTTAAGCGGAACGGCTGTTCTGCCGGCGGAGAAAAGTTATACAAAAAGTTAAGATCAGTTCTATACATACAACATGAATATGTTTTACATATATATACATAATATACGACTTATACATGAATATAAACTTATGTTGTATGTTTATATCATGGATATATTGTATTTACTATAAAACTAAATGTTTAGTTTTATTGCATGTTATGTTTAGTTTTATTATTGCCTATTATGTTTAGCTTTATTGCCTATTATGTTTAGCTTTATTGCATGTTATGTTTAGTTTTATTGCATTTTATGTTTAATTTTATGGTATATGTATATATGCTATGCTACAGTTTATATTTCTATGAGCGAATTGAAGGTGCCACTCTTCACCACATGTGCCATTGTAAAAATGTAAAAACGATTAACTATGCAAAACGTATGCTCAAAATACATAAACTCCTAAAACGGCACTCTTCTTTCCCTGGAAGGTGTTGCTCGAGACAGGAAAGTGCGTGGAATATAAACCAGTTTACCTCTGTTAGACAACAGGTGTCCCTACTCTTCGTCATTAGATTTAATAAATAATACAGGTTTGACACCACCAGTTAAAACAAGCGGTAAGAGAAAAAGAGGATTCGCCATCTCGCTACGGATTCCTAAGAGCTAAACACGTTTTAATCTTAGTATGTACCTAGAAATGTAGTTCTTGTGTCCACATGTCCTTATGTAAATAAATTTAAGCAGATTGATGATGCTTTTCAATGTCATGTAAAAATGTAAATAAAGTTTTTTACTGAATTTTGGGTAATAAATGTTGTTCTTCGCTGTTTGGAATCAACAGATTTAATTAATTTTTCTCACTTCTGCATATTAATACCCTTTTTCCTTTTTTGCCACATCATTCTGGATTTCACCCCTCTCAACTACTTTTATTTTTTCTGCTTGCTTTCAAAACTGCTTATAAGCCTTTTTATAAGCTTTCAAAGCATGATGATTTTCAGACTTCAAACCTGTATTTTGATGCAAAATAGACTACCCATTACTTGACCTTCTTTCTTCTGCGGTGCACTGAAAAAAGCTCTTTTATTACGCCTGCAGATAATTTTTTAATGCACCAAGAAGTATTCTGTATTGAGAAATGGATCTTATTTTCTGTTTTATTCGATTTATTTATTTATCAGTCTTTGTGAATGTTTGCATTTGTTTGTTTATTACGAGAAGAAAACATTCCACCGTGGTGAGAAACCAAGTCTTTTCTAGAGGTGTAGTGTTTGTCTAATGCAGTGATTTGCTACTAAAACTTGACTCGAATACATCCAACCGCAGAAACATTTTATGTCTAATAGCTATTTCAGGAGCCTACTTAAAAAATACATTCCTTCATGCTAAAGCATTTTTTTTGTTTAGTTGCCCGTTTAAAGCTTTTTATTTTAAGTAGAAGATAAGAGGTGTGCTAACAATGCTAAATAATTAAAATGCTTTCAAGCGTCTTCTCTTAGCAGGTAACTGATATTTTAGAGCTTTAAAAGAACTACCATCAAAACATTAGTGTAATTCTAATATTTCGTTTGGTAGGGTTCGTTGGATAGACAAAAATTAACGGATTTGTTGCTTCACTTTCTATAAATGTTGAATTAATTCTAATTTCTAAATTAGATTCTTAATTAGTTCTTAATGTATCATATGGAATGATTGTAGATCGTACTTTGTATGAATCATGAAATAGTAAAGAATTATCACTATAAAGTTTCAAATTTTGAGCTTCTATCAAAGGAGGACTAAAAGGCTATCATTCGACTATAAAATTAAAATATTTTAGATGGTTAGGAAAGAAATAAATTACAACTAAATATAATTGCATATGTGAAGAACATGAATATGGTTTAAATACTTTACGAACTAAATGCACTGCAATTTCAAAGAGATTTTAGTACAAATGAAATAATTTAAATCGAAAGAAATCAAATTTTGTAGTGAACACTGGACATCAATTTTCTCCATAATCGATCATAAAGATGGATGAAGTAGAAAATTGATTTAAAATTGGCATTTTCAATTTCAACCTGCGCTCTGTGCTAGAAGGGAATTCCAGCTGCTTTGATGATAAATTGTTTTGAATTGTGAAACTTACTTTATATGTTGTGTCATTTCAAGCAGTAAAGGAAATCTCTCATCATGCGGTACAAAATGTGCCACATTCAGTTTTAAATCAACATATAAATAGCAGAGATTAGAGTATCATATATAGTATATAAATACACACCTTTATGCTGTAGTATTTAAATTTGCTCCGTCGGAATGAAAAATGTATGAAATGTTCTTAAGCAAGCATTGTTTTCATGTATATTTCTCTACAGTATTTGAATATTTGCCGATTTTGTTTGAAATTTTATTTCTCAAAGAACTGATAAAATTTTATCTCTTTTAAACAAGAATGAAATAAAATATTTTAATGCATATATATTAAATAACGAGGAAATTGTTATTTCTTCAATAATCAGAATATGTGAATTATATTCTAATTCTTCAGTCTGGATTTTATCGAAATATAACTTCTTTAGAATCTTATTCAAGAGGCCCACCAGCGGCCGAGCGGTAA